TTGCTGGCAGTCACATAGCAGCTTTGAGTCTTGGAGAGGCCAACAGATTTCAAAGTGAGGGCAAGAAGGACTGGGGCTAAAGAGCTTGGATGGTATGGTGGATCTCCACCTCACTCCAAACCAGTCTCACTACATAGTGCAGCTGTTCAGTACCACATATTGAGAATGTTTGTTGCTTTTTTGTGTGTTTTTCTTTTTTGTGAAGTATCACAGACTTGCAGCGAGAACTTGAACTATCACCAATGGAACAAATATCCGCTTTTCATCAGCTTTTTTCATTTGTTTTCACTTAGTCTATTATTTATTTCATTTTTTTCTTTCTCCTTTTGTCAGCGAAGGACAATGTTGGCTGTATGATATGGTGATGTGTTGTTAGGTTACAGTTATTGTTCCTGCGGTGGAAATGCTGCACAGCAAAGCACTCAGTGGGGTGGGGCGGTTTGGCTCAGGTCCACACCCGCCTCCCTAAGTACATTCTCCCTATTGGGTATATATATATATATATATATATATTAAATTGATACAAAAAAGTTATAGTAAAACCTTCTATATTGTTACAAAATATTCCTTTTTCAGATAAATGCTGCACAAAAATCACAAATATATTAAGCAGCACAACTGTTTTCAACGATGATAATAATAAGAAATGCTTATTGAGCAGCAAATCAGTATATTAGAATGATTTCTGAAGGATCATGTGACACTAAAGACAGGAATGATAGATGCTGAAAATTCAGCTTTGCCATCACAGGAATGAATTACAGTTTAAAATACAGTTAAAATAGAAAACAGTTATTTTACATTCTAGTAATATTTCACATTTATAACATTTTTATTGTATTTTGACTAAATAAATGCAGCCTTGGTGAGCATAAGAGAGTTCTTTCAAAAACATTTAAAAAAATCTTAGGACCCCAAACTTTTGAATAGTATTGCATATTATAAAGAAATAAAATAGGCAGGTAACTGACTGGAAAAATTGGACATTCATCAATTATTTTGGCTGATGGGCAACAGAAGGTTAATTTTAAAGCCTGTTTGTAAAATACAAAAAATAAATAAATAACAAAGGTTTATGTTTACATGTGTTACCTGGTAATCTGAGGTCATGATCAGGCCACTTGAGGTAGTAGTGGGCGGAACCACTCTCACCTTCTTCAGAGGCGGGCCTTGTGCGTGGCTGTTGTCAGAGCTGGTGTGAGTACTGTGGAGGCTGCTGGGAGGTAGAGGAGTATCCCATGCTGCTTTGGGGCAATGATGTGCTTGGTCCTGGGTTCTGGTAGGCAGCATGTGGATTGGAGCGCTGGAACACAGAAGAACAGCGTTCTGCATGCTTTAGAAGCAACACATGATTCGAACTCAACAGAAAACAACAACAACTCATGGGGTCTGACTGACTGTTTAAGACCTTTAAGTAGCTCTTTGCTGCTCATGCATGCAGCAGCAAGCACTCAAGACACAAATGAATGCATGTAAATGGAAACTTTCAGGATCTAGATGAAAGAAAGCATGGATGAAAATGGACTGAGAGGCTATCGCAACTAATAAGGACCAAAATGAGACGATAGTCCACATTGAAGACCAGAGAAAACGTGAATACAAACAACTGACTAAATGTACTAAATGAATACATGGAAATATTTGCTTAAATTTGCAAAATTTCACAGATATTATGCGGTTTAATCTTTTTCCTACACACAAACTATACATACATATATATATATAATATGTATATGTGTGTGTATATATATATATATATATACACACACATATACATATTATATATATATATGTATGTATAGTTTGTGTGTAGGAAAAAGATTAAACCGCATAATATATATATATATATATATATATATATTAAATTGATACAAAAAAGTTATAGTAAAACCTTCTATATTGTTACAAAATATTCCTTTTTCAGATAAATGCTGCACAAAAATCACAAATATATTAAGCAGCACAACTGTTTTCAACGATGATAATAATAAGAAATGCTTATTGAGCAGCAAATCAGTATATTAGAATGATTTCTGAAGGATCATGTGACACTAAAGACAGGAATGATAGATGCTGAAAATTCAGCTTTGCCATCACAGGAATGAATTACAGTTTAAAATACAGTTAAAATAGAAAACAGTTATTTTACATTCTAGTAATATTTCACATTTATAACATTTTTATTGTATTTTGACTAAATAAATGCAGCCTTGGTGAGCATAAGAGAGTTCTTTCAAAAACATTTAAAAAAATCTTAGGACCCCAAACTTTTGAATAGTATTGCATATTATAAAGAAATAAAATAGGCAGGTAACTGACTGGAAAAATTGGACATTCATCAATTATTTTGGCTGATGGGCAACAGAAGGTTAATTTTAAAGCCTGTTTGTAAAATACAAAAAATAAATAAATAACAAAGGTTTATGTTTACATGTGTTACCTGGTAATCTGAGGTCATGATCAGGCCACTTGAGGTAGTAGTGGGCGGAACCACTCTCACCTTCTTCAGAGGCGGGCCTTGTGCATGGCTGTTGTCAGGGTTACCTGTGTGCCCCGCCCCATTGGTGTGGTTGTTCCCCTGCTGCTGCTGCTGCTGGTTTTTCTGCAGTTGTAGGAGAGAAAGAAAATTACAATGCATACATCTCAATTAAAAATGTAATTAACTACATCATAGTTAGAAACTAAATGGACAGAGATACATTCACACTGACACAGAAATACTCAAAAAGCAGAAAACACACATTTCTTACTTTATCTGCCTTGTCTTCCGGCTCCTCTTCTGTCAGGAATTCTCGTTTGGGATAAGGAATCTGGCAGCCAGCAAAGACACTAAACAAAACAGAGCTATTTTAAATATACCCTAAACAATATCTTGTGTAAGTAGAGCACCGTGGTTGCCCTAATTTCAGTGTACAAATATTAAACATACAAAAATCACAATTGTTCATGTCATGCAGAAAGCTGATTCTGCTCCTAAAATCACTCACTCAGACGTGGGTAAAGGCTCCTCCAGGAAGTACGAGTCTTGCATGGCCTGCTCAGATGTGATTCGGCGGATTGGGTCCATAGTAAGCAGCTTTTGCAGCTGAGAGGGAGTTCATAAGTTTACAGTTGAATATATGAGAACGAATAAATGAGATTTGCAATTCTATTCGCCCACTTACCAAGTGGAATGCTTTGCTGTCAGGTTTGACTTTATGTTTCTCCATATATTTTATAAGGCTGCAGTTAGTGTACCTACAGCAAGAGGAACAAATGCCATCAAATAAAAAACTAGTCAATGAAAGGCCTTATTAGTATGACATTTTTACAGTCAAAGATGAAATCAAACTAACGTATTCCTCCTAAAGTCTTTCATCAACGTAGAGTGTTCCGGCATCTTCTTAATGTCCTCCCAGTCTTTATCTGAGAAGAAAATTAGATTACAACGATTATCAGGACAATTGACTGAAGCATTGTTAACTATTAACTGTAACTGCAAATATAAATATTTAAACAACAAATATTCATTTGACAACAGTGTTATTTTAGCATTATTTGTATACTACGTATTTGTTTCAATATTTCAAATTAGCCTTTATTTTTATTTTTATATTTTCAGTTTATATTTTAATTTTTGCTTAAGTTTAAGTAATTTTATGTTTTTGTCATTTTTATTACCATCATTGTATTTTTTCCCCTATTTGGCTATAATTTATTTTGTTAGTTTTGTTTTAGCATTAATAATTTAAACTTCAAGTTATTTCAGTTAAAGTACAAAATGAAATCATTAAGAGGAATCAGTACCTCACCCAGAATTGTTAATAATTCCATCCTTACACACAGAACCTTATAAATATTTAAACAACAAAAAGGTATTGATTTTTCTCTTCTGTGGATTGTTTCTGCAATAGAAAATTACCTTTGACTCATTAAAAAGACATTGAGGGACCTGTAAGAACTCAAGTAAAAAAACAAAAGTCTCACAGTCTCAAAGTTTTCACCGAATCAATGTCAAGTGAACGATGAATACCTGCAGGAAAGCCCATGACATTAAAGATCCGGTCCAGCTGATCGTGATGGTAAGGATTACTGGTCTTAATGTCCTCCTGTCGACAGTGGAAGATAGGCTCTGAGGTCAAAAGCTCAGCAAAGATACAGCCGATCGCCCAGATATCTGAGAAGGAGAGAGAAAGTGACCAAATCTAGAATACACTTTTTAAATGTGCATTTGCACACACACTTATACAAACATCTCACCAATGGCTTTGGTGTAATGCCTGGCTCCCAGCAGCAGCTCCGGTGCTCTGTACCAGAACGTAACAACTACAGGATCCAGATCTGCTAAAGGCTTCAGTGGTGAGTTGAAGAGCCGTGCAAAACCCATATCAGCTGCACATCAGGGACAGAATTTTAAAAATGGTCATGATTGTGCATCAAAACACTGATGCACACATCTCTCTTCTTTTTGTCACAAGAGAAAGGAAACAGAGCTGATGTCATACCTATCTTCACACGTCCTCTTTCAGGACCTTCTCCCATTACCAATATGTTGGCAGGTTTCTGTGGTGAAAGAGTCAAAGTTCAGAGCTGTAATACTTTCTCTCTCATTTCAGTGTGATAACTGATGCCGTAACTTCTTTGCAACTTTTTAGGATTTCGAAAACTTACCATGCATGAATAATCCTTTATAGCCATGAAACAGTATTTTGCAATATTTTTATCAGGGTAAAAAAAAAAAAAAATTATATATATATATATATATGTATATATATATATATAAAATAATCACACAGGGAAAATCTCACATCTTTATTTTATACACTACTCTAAAAATCTGTTTACTATGTGAAGGAAAATCTACCACCTCCACCAGAGTTCCCATGGTGTGTGGCGTTTGACATTAAATAACTGGCTGTTGTATGATGCAAGCTGACACAGAGACATGGGCCTTGATGGAGCTCAGATGGATGCATCTCACTGGGCTTTCTCTGCAAGTGCATCGGCCGCCTCCTTTTCTCTCTGTGCTTCCTCTCTCCATTGAGCCTTTTTCTCCATGTTACGAGAGGTCAGATTTTCATGCCGACCTGCCGCCTGCCATTGAAGGCATTGGTTAAAGGATAGGAGAGCCATATATTACCCAAGCTTATCATTTATACAGCAGCACTCTTTTTATTACCCGTTTCCCAGAGACAGCCGTAGCAACGCACGCTATGATGGTCAGTGCCATCATCACATAGCAGGCCTTCACACGCACTCTGTTCCTGGCAGCATCAATCATCTCAAATCTGAAAACAGTGCAGTATTTTCATAAGTAAAGAAAATACTATAAAATAGTACATGAAGATATGCTTAAACAAGTCAAGTCTAATTGTACAAAGAAAACATTTTAAAGAGTAGGGCAGGGTATCGGCACAGATTTTCTAATTCGATTTAAAGGCACAATATGTAATTTTCGCCGCTAGAGGGCGTGTATTCAAAATAGACAAAGGCGTAGTTTGATGACGCCGTGACTGAGTGTGGAATCATGGGAGTTGTCGTCTGTGTGTGCTGTGTATATTTATTATGTAAATATAAATACAAACACATACAGTATATATTTTGAAAATATTTGCAATGTATTTACATGTATATATTTATATTCATATAATTTATAATATATATAAATATATTTAATATATAAACATAACATATTTTTCTTCAATATATACATGCATGTGTTGGTATTTATATATACCTAATAAATATACACACATATATTATGTAAACAAAAACTTTTATTTTGGATGCGATTAATCATTTTTGACAACACTAATATATATATATATATATAAAAAATTCAGAACAGGATGTTTTTTTTATTTTTTATTTTTTATGTAAATACTGATACTAAATGAGGCTTGGTTCAATTAGCATTAACATTTTTCAAGAATTGCTTTATATTTATTTAGAATTCATTCATGCATCATTTGGCAACAGTGTTATTCTAGTATTAAGTAGAGGTATTTTTTTCTGAATTAACCATTATTTTTAATTTTTTTCTTAAGTTTTAGTAATTTTGTTATTTGCTTTTAATTTTTATTACATTTTTTAAAACATTTCTATTTAGCTTGTTCTCATTTCTAATTTTTAAATTTTTCCATCTAATATTTTTTATTTTATTTGACTATTTTATCAATTTTTTTATTCAAATACCAAAATCAAATTTTAATAGTTTCACTTTTAGTTAACCATAACAACACAGTTTGGCAAATAAGTTACATTTATTTTTTCCACAAATATCTCTTCCTCAAAAAGAACAAAATAAAATCATTAAGACCAGCATTGTTAAATTATGTCCTTACATCTGTTGTGACAAAAAAATATTTAAAAAAATATTTTATAAATGCTGCCACCTACTGGAAATTGTCATGGGATTTCTAATAATCAGCCAAGTCAAAAGAGCTACATCTGGAAGGACATTAAAGGCAGAGTGAGGGATTTCTGGTAGCCAATGTTTATATTTGAAATCACCAAAACAAACACGCCCCACGTGTCCTACTTCTTGCCTTATCGTTCCGCAGACGTTTTCCTCTTTTGTTTTTTATCCGCCATCTCTATCTTTCTGTCGCTGGCTCGGCTAATGTCCGTCCCATGCACTGAACACGCTCTCCTCCACATCACGAGTAGACACGCCCCTTATTGCTGATTGGCTACAAGTTTGTTTTGCGATTCGGCCCGAATCAGTTTTTAAAGCATTTTTGAAAAATCACTCACTCTGCCTTTAACTGTTCAATATAACACACATTGAACCTCACCAGGTCTCTGTGCAGGACCCAGTTGGCGTGCAAATAGTGGATGCCATCCAGGATCTGGTAGAGCAAAGACTTTACCATCCCACGTGGCAGCTGAAGAGGCTTCTTATTGGCCTTGGAGGCTCTGTGGAACTTGATGATGTGCTACAAAGACACGTAGACCCTCAGCAAGATATGTACTGTATACAAACATTTCTCTGTGTGTGTGCATGAGCGTTTGACTGTATGTTACCCAGAGGTCATGTTCAGCGTAGTCAAAGAGAAGCCACACTTTGCGGTCTGCATGTGACAGGAAAACCTTCTGCAGCGAGATCACATTGGGGTGCTTCAGTTCACGCAGCAGCTGCAGGGAGCAAACAAGAACGAACACACACAAGCGCACATGCTGAGACAGACATCTACAGAGCACCCAAAGTACACAAAATCACTTCAGCCTGAAGTATGCTTATTAAAAGGATAGTTAGGCCAAAAATAAAAAATTCTGTCATTGTTTATTCACCCTCCCCTCATGTTGTTCCAAAGCTTTATGACCAAGGAAGACAAAAGCAGAAATTTTGAATAATGTGCTGGTTGCTCTTTTCCATGCAATTACAATGAATGGGGACTGGAGTTTTGTAGCTTCAAAAAGGACACAAAGCATCATAAAAGTGGTCCATATGACTAATGCACTATATTTCAATTCCTCTGAAACCAAAATGAGACATTTGTGTCATGAATAAACCAAAATATAAATAGTTATTTACTAATAATCTTCACATTCAGTGAACTGTTAATCGCTGAACTGGAGAACCGGATCAGTTGAAAACAAATTTATGGCTGCGTCTGAAATCACATACTCTTCTGACTACTTCTTTTAAATAAGTTGTTCCATATAGTATGAATATAATCCGGACCTACTACATTCATCATGTTGTCATAGTCATGTGATCTACCCGTGTCAGTTGAATCACTTCACTGCCTTTCACAAATCCTCTCCCGTGGCCTCATGGGATAGCATAGTGTCCACACTTCAAAATCTCGCTGGAAATAGTATGCCAGCTGGGAAGTTTTTGGCTATTTTTTATGAATATTGTGAATTTGGACATACTACTCTGTTCACCTAATATATTGTAGGGAAGTATGCGATTTCGGGTGCAGCCATTCAGCTGTTTTGTGAACTGGATCCCCTGAATCATTAACCCAAAACAATCGTTTGTTTATGAAACTGACAAAATTATTTCCAGCATATCAAGGAAAGGTTCAATTTCGGTCCGTTTTTCACACAAAGATTTCAGCATATGATCAAAGTACTTTTATGACATTTTAATTGTGCTTTTTTTTATCATTTCGGAGCTTGACAGTCCTAGTTTTCATTCACTTTCATTATACTGAAGTCATACGGGTTTGAAACAACAAATGTCATTATAAAAATAATGACAATTTTCAATTTTTAAGTGAACTATTCCTTTACTGCACATTACATGAGAATATAAGTATTCAAATTTTCTTAAAAATTCATAGAGCTAATAATAGTTAACAGATTTTAACTCTCTAAAGTATCCACATGCTATAAATGTATTTCCGGGAACTTGTTTAACCAAGAAGGCATGTGCCAGAGCTACTTGAAGATCCTCTTGACAGGAACACATTTAAAGCTTGATGTACTTACTGCTATCTCTCTGCAGGCAGACATAGAGATCCCTGTGCCTTCAATCTGCTTCAGAGCATAATCTTTATCATCCTTCCTGCAAATAGACATATCAGCATCCGCAATTACTCTTCAGTACACTACATTTCCCTAAATCTATACCTAAACATCATATTAAACCCCTTATGGAGGGAAATAATCCACTGGGAAAGACCCAGCAGAATTTTAAACAGATGATTTTGACTCTTTTATTACCAGCACACCTTCAAAAACTCGTAAGTCTCCTGACAACTAACATGAAGCAAGAGGGTAATGTTGAAATGAAGTTCTACAAAAAAATTAGCTGTAAACCGCTCATAAACAATCAGCTTCTATGGTGAACAAAAACATCTTTAAATGCTTAGGACCTTCAAGTGAGACTTCGGCCGCCAGGCAGTCTGGACTTTAATAGCCCAGCTTTGGGTCTGTCTGATGGGTCTCACTTAATGCCAGGCACTGTAAGGAACCAACTTACAGTAACTCATCAGCAGATCCATTCTTACTCCGCCAAGATAGTCTGCTATTGGTGTGAAATAAAGATAGCTGCACAAGAACCAAATAACCATTAGAAGTTAAACATCAAATTAGTGTCGAACAAAATAAAACAAATCCCATGTGATAGCACTAAATACAATAAAATCTTATGCAAATTGGGAGGATTGCTATTTCAGGTGCCTCAATATGACCACTGATGTCCTGCAGACATTGAGGGTTATTTTCTGTCCAGTTTTCCCACCAAAAAAAACACTAATACAAGTAAAATGTAGAATGGGATTTTTAGGTATTTTTTAAATTCCCCCAAGTCACAGCTCTAATTTCTAATCAATAAATGTGAAACTATCAGTCATGGTCATTTCATTTCTTTCCAAAAGTAATTAAATAAGGGTTTTAATTGACACTGCAGCTGGAATTAGACATTTAAGGCCCCATTAAATCTGTTTTATTCTTTTAATGGTAAAATAAAATTTTAATAATAAAAAAGAATGTTTAATGAATTGAATTCAATTATGATAATAGGGCCTATGAAAATTGTTCTCTTTTTTTCAGACATTCTGTTTTGTCGGTTTTAATTTTTCTGGATTTATGATTTAATACACATTTACTTTTCAAAAATGGTGGTAATCAAGTAAATGCATAAAACTTTAACTTTTAATGAATCTTTTGAAATGTAGTCAAATGAAATTCAAACAATTCTTTTAATTTTTTTTGACAAAGTGGTGCACAAGAGTTTACTGAATTGAAACATGAACAAAAAATTGTGATAGAGTGATATTCCTTTAAAAATAATGTCTTTAAAAACGGTATTATTATTGTTGTTGTTACTTTAAGTACATTCTATAGAAGACTTTTTTTGTGGTTTAATATTCACAGACACTAGTCCACATTGTGATTTAGTTTACTTATGGTAAATTGTTCTTTTGATTTATTCATCCAAATTTTGCGACATTCCATGTTATACAGTAAATTCCATTTTTTGACCGAATTCAGTGATTCCATCAGCGTTTTATGCACCACAAAAATCAAAGGACCACACAAATTCAGCAGACTATCATGTGTTGGCACAGTCTAATTAGAAAGCCTGATAAATTACTTGGGTGTTTATAAATGATCTAATCCTAGAAAGGTTACACTTGTCATACGGTTATTCTCAGCCATTTGATCATTGTGTTAGAAAAGAATAATTTGTCCTTCTTTGGATGAAGAGCACAGACAAATCCCTGTGTTTTTGTCTCTGATGTGAGAAAGTTTTGGAGAATATATTCCTATCGGCAAGTTACCAAAAACATTGAGAGCACAGGAATTTCAACTCCCTTTTTCCCCCAACAGACTTCTAATAAAACAGACCT